CCTTACTTACGTCTCTTCAACCAAATTATATTGAAACTAGCGACCCGCTCCGGCTTTGCACGGGTGCAATATGCATATATTATACATATAAACCTTCCTTAAGAATCACTCTATCTATAAAAAAAAACCGCATCAAAATCCGTTGCGTAGTTTTAAAGATCTAAGCATACATAGGGACAGACAGACGGCGGATATCAACTTTGTTTTATACTATGTAGTGATAATTCTAGTAAAGACTGGAAGGAGGTTTTTTGAAAGAAAATGAACGAAGAAGGAAGAACCTCAAAGGTGCTTATGTTGCAGTGATTTGTTCCCTAAAATGTTAATTAAGACTTTTGTGTGTTACTTAATAAGGTCAAAAATCATCAATCAAAATCCTAGTTATTTGATTGTCTGTTTTATATATATTTTTACTAAAATAAGTATGTATATGTACGCAAATTGAAAACCTTACTATACTAATTCACAATTCCGTCTTGGTCTTCACATGACAACACTCTTACAAGCTAGCCTTTTTAAGTTTTTCAAACAATAAGAAACGTATGCTGGTTGAAACATGATATTAAAGAGTTTTTTGATTAAAATACGATTTAGTATTAATTCTTGGTTAGACTTTCTCAGAAGATATAATAGTGATGTGACAATATGTCAGTCAAAGGTTCATTTCCGTCGGGTATTTGGGTCGATCTCCAGAGGCATTTTTTTTCGTGTCGGGCTGGATAAACCCATTTTAAAATCGAAAAACGTTTTCAAAATATTTTTTTATAGACAGTTCAGTGTCTAATCTACGTGATACAAGGCTAATATTATGAATAAGTTGTTTTTTTGTTTCACTGATTTCACCATTTATGATCGCTCTGGCACCAATTATGATTGCTCTGGTCGCGAAATTTTTTAAACTTAAATATTTCCATAACTGTTTGTGTAAATTGAAGGCCAATAGTAAAAAAATACTATTTGAATATCATACTTTTTAATGATATGCATAATTACCATTAAATATCAATATCTGAAAAGCACCAGAGCGATCACACGAATACGCCCGTTTTGGAGATTGACCCATTTAAGTATCCCGTACAGTTAGTATTATATTTGGTCATTAATAGAAGTGTTCTGGGTTCTAGACAAGCTACAGCTATCTAATGTACTGTACAGGCATCAAGCAATATAAACATACGCTTAGCAAACGACCCAAAATAATAATTGAAGCCTTATGAAAAAATTTCGAGTAACCTCGCGAAGGCATTTTACTTATTAAGTAGTAGATGTATCGAAGCAAAAAGAAACCCCCATTTTAAAGGTGACGTCACTTGAGCAGATACCGGATATCGGGTACTAGAACAAAAAACTTCTATTCCTCGAGACGCCATGACACTTTTTTGTCGACCTAAGATGGCGAGTGACGTAGACCATCTAAAACAAAAGAAAGCCCCACCCACTTACGCGCAAAAAAGCAAAAAAAAAACAGACATGCATGCAAAAAAACAATGAGATTTTAAACGCTACGGAAACAGGGGAAAAGCACGGACGTGGTAAATCAACAGTGGCAGTAAATCAACAAATAGGAACAAACGAAAATCCCGAATTCACGGGCCCGGCAAGTACGCAGCGTAATCCCGGCACAGCGAGCATGCAAACTCGTAACAGTGGCACATTTACCGGGGACGGCATCAGACGAACACTTGTTGCTTGCGGATGCCAACTTCACGGTTCCAGGCGCCGCAAAACTTCCCCAGCCGCTGCAATTACTCCCACAACCGAATTACAATTCCAAAATACTCGAAAATTGACTTTAACCAACTTTCAAAGTAAAGTTTGCAACAACTTTTCTACACGTATAAATATTGTATAAAAACTGCAACGAATAACTGGTTTATAAATATATATTATGTTTATATATTGGTATTATTTAAAGCACCTATTTATTTCACTGAGCACTTCACTACGCCGTCTTCGTCTTGAGAAGCGACTTCGCGACGCACTTACAAGACGACGCGAGACGTTCGAAAATTTAAATTTCGGCTACGACCGTTATTTACCGGAATTCCGAGTTCGAAAAATTACGTGCACTATGGTTGTTGTTTACGAATTTTGAATTTATTTTTTCCGAAACGTTAGCCGTTGTTGGAGACTAGATATTGAATAATTTAGCTCCTGATTGCGGGAGAGAAGTTGCATTAGTGCACGCCGTCCCGGTTGCAACAGGTTGTTTGGTAGAGAACTGAAGGGCGCATGCGCGTAGCCGCGACCGCTGCACCCCTCTACAATGGTCACATCCGAATTTCGATTTTAATTTCCCGGATGGATAAGTTTTCAAGGCCTGTACAAATCATTACACTTTTTAAAACAATTTCTTAGTGAATTTGATTATCACACATTCTTTATCGTCATCCGATTAATTACAATTAAAATGACATAAACGACAGCCCAAAATAAATATTGGGTTAGCAAAAAAACATTTAGCTTACACCCTAAAACCAAAAAACACTTAATTTTACCCTCAGAATAAAACACGAAAATCACAACACCCCTTTTCACTTTCCCAACAATTCATACACTAAACAAAACACTACTTAGAACTGTAAAAATAGACATAAAATAAAAAAATATTCTCGATGAAAATTCCGCAAGTTGACGTCAGTTTAGGGACCATTGTAGAGTGCGGTGCACCGCTCTTGGCCTCCTATAAGCACGTGTACAGCTAGCTACTGATAGCAGCGCAGCCTTATCTCTAACCCCGAATTCTAATCACTAGAAGGATTCTTAAACCTAACGTGATAACAGAAGGAAAGAATACAATTTATTAATACCCTTATTTTCATTGTGTATGTCACGAATCTTATCATACTTAGGTACTATATTCAAAATCTCTAATCGATTTTTAATCGTTTGATGATATATCGATTAGACTAATATCCAAAGATCTTGGATTGAAGTTAGTTATTAATTATCTTCTGAAAAGGGTTACACTGAGAAATTTATATATATAAAAGAAAGTCGTGTTAGTTACACTATTTATAACTAAAGAACGGTTAAATCGATTTAGATGAAAATTGGTTGGGATGTAGCTTAGAACCAGGAGACGGACATAGGATATTTTTATCCAATACTTTTACCGAAAATCAGGAACGGGACAGATTATTAAATCATGATTGACAGCTTAGTGTACACCCAATTATAAGCTCAGGTTTCCTCACAATGTTTTCCTTCACCGTTTATCAGTGGTGTCTAAATAATCTTAGGCCTGAATTTGACCGAATATTGTTAAATCAAATCGATAATCGAATCGATATCGATAGACATTTCCGTAATAAAACTCTTCGACACCTTGCTTCCAGTAGCAAAACCCCATTAGGTACAAGCACCGTTTAAGTTACTACCCTAAGACACTAACATTATCACCTCAAACATAATTACAATACACAGACATACACATAAGACAAAATCCCATTTAAATGACAAACGTACAAACAGATATACGCATAGACAAGCATCCCCACTTAACCATAACCTGCCTCAAGGCACACAAAGTGCGCAAATAACCCTCAAAACTCCACAAAAGCTACTTCCATACATAAAACCCTAAAACGAGAATCGCAATAAGGCCGTAAAACAAATAAACACACAAACAAAATTCATACAACTCGGTGTACAAAATTTTCACGAACTAAATGCATGGAGTAGTGTGGGAATGGAGGGCTCAGTGGTGACATTTGTTATAAATTTACTTGACATCACGTGATAGATTTGTTTTTGAATGATGATATTAACGGTGAAAATGTAATGTTTTGAGGTGATGATTAGTTCATAAAAATTGAGAGATTGAAAATTTCTACCGCACAGAATTTTTCTTTTTGATCACCAAGTTTTATCATGATAAAAAACAAGCCCATTACCACAATCTTGGCGTAATACTAGACACTTACCTAAATCTAAAGAAACTTCGATTATTGTATAAAAATCTAAACCCCAAAAATATTTCGTCCGATCCGAAAACCACTTCAGCCACTCAATTAAAGCCAATAATAAAGTAAAGAAGTCATTCATCACATACACAACCTTTATTTAACCTCTATATTGAACCATATTTATGACTCCTACACCAAAAAATAACCAAAATAACACCGCCCACAAAACATTCACAACACGCTCACCCAAACACTATTAACCACCACTATAACTCTCTGTACCTTGCTTACTCAAGTCCCAACACTGTTGCTTCAGTAGTATGAGTATGTAACTGGTTTCCCTGGATATTTTTAGCGTGGCTAGATAAGCACAGGTTTCGTGCACACTGCACAGAACAGAGTGCACAAACGCTCTTTTATATTAAGCTTCAGGCAAAATGCACGGATTTTTTTAAAGTAATTTAATATGGTGGACACTTGTATTTTGTTTAGCGTTTAGGTTCAGTAAATCTTGTTGGAGGATTTTTTGTTTATTTTAAGTTTATCTGTTGGGTGCTGCTCTAGTATTGTTTGTATGATTTGAAGGTATAATTTGTATGTGTGGTCTTTGTTTTAGTGTGTGTGATACTGCAAAGGCAACGCTAATAATAATATCTCTTAAAATAAAGATATCTTAGTACATTTGTACTGAGAACATATTATAATCCTCCAATTAATTTATTGCTAATTTATTAATGTAAATTAATGCAAACTTAATTTGATTTTTTAGCCAACATCTTGTATTCTAATTTTGTATCCAATTATTGATATTTTTTTTTCTTAAAGAATGCGGTGCTCGCCTGTAATTGATTGTAACATTTTACTGTTATCTTAATTAAATGTTTGTTATTTAATGTAAGAATGTATACAATTGTTGGTGGGCCAATAAAGATAAATAAATAAATAAATAAATAATCATTTCTTATCTTACGTTTCTTCATTCTAATTTTAAATTCAAATGTAAGTTTTCTAAATTCTTATTTTGAATTTGACGCCATGTTTGAGCATAAAATTCCGTTATAAAAAAGTAAAACAATGAGGGTTGTCACTCACCCAATATATAGACCATATTCTTAGTCCAGCGCTGCAGCTCCTTGCGTATCGCGCGACGTTCCTGTTGGCACCGCGCGAATGAGCACTCCGCCATGGCACTCGAGCGACAACCCTGTAACAAATGAAAAACGTTTAGAATGTTATTTGTCATCATCACCACCGTTCATAGCGATGAATGGAAAAAGATAATTTAGCGAACCAAGTATTTACATCAGAAAAAAAAATATGCAGTTTATTTCCAAGTAACAGTTAATTTAGTTACACCTGTGACACTCCCACAGACTTCGACACATTACCCCTACAATAAAACACGAATCAATTTACAAAATTTGAAGCAACGCTACCAAAATCGATTTACGTATATTTTAACAAGTGTGGGAGAGCCATGCTTCAGCACGAATGGGCCGGCTCGACCGGAGTGATACCACGGCCTCACAGAAAACCGACGTGAAGCAACGCTTGCGTTGTGTTTCGTCGTGTGAGTGAGGTTACCGGAGGCCCAATTACCCTCCCCTTCCCCAACCTCCCCAATCCCTGAATTACCAACGATCCTTAAACTCCTAGTCCCCAAAAGGCCGGTAACACATTAGTAACGCCTCTGGTGTTCCAGGTGTCCATGGGCGACGCCGATTGCTTACAATCAAATGATACGTCTGCTCGTTTACCGGCTTATGCCATAAAAAAACTATTTGACATCCCTTTCTGAATATCTCACTGAAAGAAATTTGTCAATGGGATAAAAAAGCAATACATTATCACTATATACATTCTACTACGTAGTTCATAATCATATTTGAGTACACGTCGACACAATAGGGATCAAATATTGAAACATCAGGCTGAAAAGCTGAAACACTGTAACAGCGTCAAACTCCCAAACTTCGTATCTTTGATAACTTACTGAAAATGTTCCTGTAACGAAACCCCCGTACCGAACTTTACTGCCTGTAGTTCTGAAATACTCATATTTATACTGTAACGTGTTATAATTAGAGTTTTGATGATAACTGCGTCGTTGGCCGAGTGATCGCAAATGCGTGTGCTGGTTTTAAAAAAAAAACTCCGTAGTAGCACGGAGGCTTGAATTGTGCCCGGTATACGGCAATAGGCTCACCCCCTATTACATAGGACTCATAACATAAATAGCGAAAAGTGTGTGTTACATTGTACAGTGGCAGTGCCGTAATATGCACCTCTGCCTACCCCTTCGGGGGTAAAAAGGCGTGTTGTTATGGTATTTGATGATAATGTGGTGAAATATGATAATTTCATAACCAAGTATTTCAGAAATGAATATACATCGTGATAAGGAAAAGAAAGAAAAAAAATAGGTAACGTACGGCGTCGAAAAAATTATCCTCATCGCAGTCGTGAAGGAAGGGTGCCCAAAAGACTGGCAGCATTGCCACGTTGGATGGTAATGCTTAACCTTTCACCAAGATAACAGCCAGCCTTTCGATCACCAGAAGTGTGATCGTTTTTCAATAGAATGCGTTCGGAAGAGTCGAAATAAAAAAAATATCCCATTTTAATTGCACTGTTAGAGTGTTACGTATCATAGGTTCGATTCCCAAGTGGAATAATTCTTTGTATGACGTTTATGTGAATTTATATGTCTGTAAACGCACCCACGACACAGGAGGTACTTAGATCTTTCCGTTTCTATACTCTTCAAAGGATGCCATCATACCTAATATTAACATTATTAATTTCAAATTCAAGATGTCAGATCATATGTAGATATATATATATTATTACACAAATATAATATTCCTATATAGAATGCAACCAAAAGGTCTTAATGAACGAATGAATGAATGAACGTGACGCTCAAAGATGCTCCGAGTGAATGACAACTAAATATCGAACGTCTTATATTATCTGTATTAAGATTTTACCGGGAAATTTGTCTATGGCGAGGTTTGTCTATGAATGTGAAATGTGTCTAGATTGAATTGTAATTTGTCGCAAAATGGTACTAGTTAGTTAAGATGGCAGTCGAGCTATGTAAAATACTGACATTCAGTTGAAACTGATTTTTTTTTAAGGGGGGAAAATCATCGAATGACTGCTCCCGCCTAGTGTCAGACTCTTACTGACTAAAAACCACCCCGTTCCTTCGCCTGCACGTCGAGCCGGAGCCCCGTTAGGTTCTCCGCGACTCCGAATCGGCATCGGCCCTGTTGGGCCCCATCTGTGGTGGTCTGATGGCTCTTTGAGGCGCGCGCGGAACGCGACGCGCCGTACGCTCGGGAGGTGAAACTGAATAGGATTCAATACTAACTTTCTAATAGGTATGTATGAAGCTAGGAGTAAAAAAAATTTAACAGTTCTTTTCTTTAGTGACACAACAAACAAAAGTTAAATAATATAATTCATGGTGTAAGCTGTAGGTAATGTTAAATGTGTAAATTTTCGGAAAAAATAAAATGGAATAAAATGGTTGCATAAGGGATTTTTTGTGAGATTTTTTAAAAACCCAGTAATACTTTGCCCGGCTCCGTAATCGAACCAGAGACCCCTTGCCCGATAGTCGCAATTGCAACCATTCGGCCGACGAGACAGTCAAACTTTTTTTAAATCTTACCCGTAAAAAGTAGACTGAGATAATTAAAATAACATATCTATGGTTTTATCAGATTTAGGAACTGAATTTTTAATCTTAATATTCGGCAGTTGCACTTTACAATGGGGATTCTTATAAATTTAGTTAATATAAATAATAGTACCTATCTTAACCAAAGTTACGAAAAATCATTTGAATCAACTACATTCATGTGACTCAGATATTAAATGAATACATTATAGTTAAAACACGTTGGTAAATTTCCACGTATTCGCGAATACAACAATAACATTGGACTGTCCCGTTCATTTTCATCTCCACAATGGAAATAAATTCGGCCCACAAAACCCTCGACCCGTTACTACCAACCGAATATTTTAATTGACTTTCATAACGAAACATCGTTAAACACAGACACAACGATAAAACATCGTTACTCACGAAACCCTCTTACCTATTACCCCACAAACAAATTGGCCAACATTTTGAAACTCGAGGTCAAAACTTAATTCAATCGAGCACAAGCGATCGGTGAGTCGGCCCACTAACTAAAATTTCATTAACTCGTATTTCCTGGACGAGCCTAGCTATCTTCGAACATCGGAGCTCCAACAAAATAAGAAATGAACTCTATTCAATTACTATTACATTCATCGAAGTATCGAACCCGCCGGTCAATGGCCCCGAAAGGAGCTAACGAAATTCTACGAAAAACCTCCGATCCTCATCAAGAACACCCGACACCCCCCGAATATGCCCGAACCACCCGAATCTGGCCCCCGAATTCTTATTTCAAACTCCAGACGAACAGGGGGCCGGGGGGTATCGCGAAACTATTCTTATTTTAAAATCTCTCTCCACGGAATATGCCACGAAAGAGGTTCTTATTTTAAAAATATCACGCTCCACCGAAATTTTCTTATTTTAAAAACTTGAGGGGGGTGCGAACGTTCTTCCGAAATCCACCACCCCCCGCACCCTCCAGGGGCCCCTCGGTGGCCAGTTATGATATTCTTATTTTAAAAATCGCTCGAAGCGTTCCGATTCTGTTATTAAGATGTTGGTGTGTGCAAGCTTTTATGAGGCCGCTTGTACGTGAGCCAGGATCATCTAAGACACAAAGGGGTATTTCGCGTAAACCTATACATTGTTATGGACCGCATCGAGGTCGTTCTATCTCACGATAAAATAATAATAAAGCTTGAAAATAAATAGTAAATCTCCATTCGCCATCCCTGACCTACATGACCCAGTTGCGAGTTATGTAGCCGATTCTCGATTCACATAAATTGTAATTCCTAATTTCGCATAACGAAGTGCGCGTAGGCGATTGAAAATTCAAATTTTCGAGTCGTGAATTTTGATTTGTGAAGGTAGGCAGGTACCTATACCACTACCTTGTGTTAGGGAGTACGTACATCTGCAGCTGGTAATGAGATCTCCTGTATTGGGGCATCGTCTGAAGACACGTGTAGCGTATTGATTTCGTAGATTACGTATACATTCCTACACAAGGAACATGTCTTGCATACGGCAGCTGGCTGCCGTGTATGCTTGCCTAATACACAGCTACACTACCTACGTGACATTCTCATTTCGATGCGAAAACAGAGCGTTCATCGATCATTTGGAATTATTCGAATTCAAATTTGCATTCTAAATAAAAAAGGGATTATAAAAAATTTCGAATCGGCGACCAATAACGCTTGCCGCCAATTTTCATGGCTGTCAAATTTGGGGCCGCCGCGCCCGCCACCCTTCTCAGATCAATTTACGATAACTCGGTTTGAGCTCCGTCCCGCTCGGCCTTAAGACGCAGCCCTATCCCCGTCTCCTCGCGGATAAGTTCTAGAACTGGGCAACTGTTGAGCGCCAACACCCGATAGGTGGAATGTACATGAATTTTTATTTAAATTTAGTTTTCGAATATGTCATTGTCAGAGGTGGTGTTGTGTGTGATAAATAACAAGTTTTTAATTGAATGGGAGTGGAAGTCCCACGTCTAATGTTATATAAAAAGGAGTTATTTCATGCATCACTTTTATACACATTTAAAACAATAAAAAACACTATAATAAATGTACAAAAAATCTAATTATTTGTTACTCCATTTTTATTTTATCAATTCAAAAAGAAAACACGCACGCACAAATATAAAAAGAAATATAAAAAGAACCTCACCCACACACACACAGATCAATTCGAGGCCCCCTATCTATTCAGTAGAATATCATAATGGCGAGCCCCTAGTAAATAATAGTGACCCTATTTCTAGTAGATACCGCGTTCTGTGTTACGGCAGTCTCGGGACCATTCTCTCACGCGGATATGGCCCGGGACTTATTTTTAACTGTTGTGTGCGTCTTGGCCGTGTGTGTGTGCATGGGGGTGGTGGCTACGTGTGTGTGCGTGCGTTTGAAATATTCCCCCGTAGCGTGGCGCGGGGAATTGATGTTTTTAATTAGTTTCCAACGGTTTTCGTTGGTGGTCTGCACTAGTCGATTTTTATTATTATTTATTAAATTAATTTATATTTACAGTAGCGT